CCCCCCCTCCCCTCCCTCTTCCCCCGTTGTCTGCATCCCCATCCCCTGTTTGTCCCTCCCCCAACCCGTCCATCACCCTCCCGCCTAAACCCAACAGGAGGGATCATAGGGATGGGGGAGGCAGCGGAGGATAGGGTGGGGCTGCTCTATGAGCTCGCCACCATGCCACAGCACCCGGAGAGCGTCCCTGTCAACCTCCTTGTGCCCATCCCCGGCACGCCGCTCGAGAGCCAACCTCGCGTGCCCGTGTGGGACGTGCTCCGCATGATTGCCACCGCCCGCATCATCATGCCGCAAGCCATGGTGCGCATGTCCGCTGGGCGGCTCGGCTTGTCTGTAGCGGAGCAGGCGCTGTGCTTTTTGGCAGGTGCGAATTCGATTTTTACCGGGGAGCGGCTGTTGACGACGGCGAATAATGACAAGGATGAGGACGCGGAGATGTTTCAGCTGCTCGGGCTGCTGCCCAAGCCTGCCAATCTGTCCCTTTAGTGAGAGTTTTCTTATAAGAAAATATTCCTCATTTGGATGTGTGGTGTATAGGGAACTGCTAGACCAGAGGATGCAATGCAGCGTGCGCTAGCAGCAACTGCAACTGCAGCCATTTATTAGGATGGCGCTGGTGCTGCTCCTTTTGAACCTACTTACAGTGGAGAACGTTGCATGATTTTTGTTGACATGGAATTTCCAGTTATATACAGCAAACCAATCATCTTGTAATGCACATGCCAAGGTGTTCCTTTCCTGAGAAACAAGCCATCTCAAGTGATGCCCTTCATGTTGATATATTTCTGCAGGCTTGAAACCTGATGGTGCACAAGACTGGTTATTGTTGACAAACTGGTTTATTCAAGTCCACTGGTTATTGTTTATTGCTGTGTGTTTTGTATCCGTGTAGGTACCTTCTCTAATTGTGCGAGGAGGTGTACCCGTAACGGATGGACAGAATCGCATTTTTTAGGAGGGGGAGCTCCAACCGTCTCGAGAAAAATTCAACCGTTTTCCGAACCGCACGCTATGTTTCCAAGGTGCTGTTGTGGTGCTTATACCGCCCAGTGATTGGCCCCTCGATCTCGACGCGCTTCGATGTGCAGCCTGTCAGCTTGGCTCGAATTGTCCATCCCGCTAAACGTCACCTCGTCTGCTCGACTCCCAGACTTCTTCCATCCAACCACAACCACCTCCCACATGGGCTTGGCTCGCTCTCATTTCAATTCACACATCATCGGGTGAAAACAGTCATGCTTTCTCAGTGACTCTCATTCCACGACAACTGAAAAACGCCTGGACTTCCGCACTGTTTATGCGAATACATTGGGCTTGGCTAGCTTCAGTACATAGGGCTTTGGGGGAGTGTGCTTGAAACAAGAGACGATCGCCTGCTACAACTTGGCGGAAATTTTCTTCCACCCCTGCAAACGCCCATACACGGGAAGCTTGAAAGATTTGGGGGAGGCTTGACTTTTTTCCGAATACAGCAGAGTCTGCTGCACGGGCTTAGTTGCGCCGTGGTTTGCATCTTTTAGGGTCGAGGAAATTCTAAATCTTTCACTCAAGGCATGCTAGTCTGTGTCCGACCTTCGGAAAAAAGATTGAGAGGCGTGGGAAACATAACCGCATCGGGCGAGCCCTTGCGAGGACCCCTGACATCACGCTGATCCGAGTCTCTCGATTCGATACAGTCCTATCCGCTCCCTGACCGCTGCCACTACTGAGCGGAAGACAAGCTTTCAGCGGCTTTGGAAGTTGGAACTTGCCTTTCGGCTGTGGGGGCTTTCACTGTGTGGGTGGGTGGGGAAAGGAGGTCTGGGGAAAGTGGGGTGGGGGGAAGAGACACGCCGTCGGCTCCCTCCCTCATGCTTTCCCTGCGCTGTTGCAACCCTGCTGACTGAGCATTTACAGGCTTTCAAGGAGTCAAGTTGACTCCATGACGTGTCTCCTCACCCCCTCATCATCGCCCCCCATCCTCCAACCTCCCATCCCAACCTCCCCACCAACAGCTTTCGTTCGTCTCAATCGCTCAGATCGCCTCCCGTTGCAACAGCAGCCATCGAGGCTGATCTGAACTGAACTGAACTGAACTGAACTGAACTGAAACCCTCGTCTGTCTCGTAGTAACAGCGAGTTTTGCGGCAATCGCGGACTGATTCAACTGCCGACGAATCTTGTGCTCGTCGCAAAAAAATAATCAGAATAGTAGATTTCGCCATGAATAGCACGACGCGCGTGTATGATGGTTCCGGTGCGGTTACAGAAACGGCCTCTGCTGCTGTTGCTGCTGGCGTTAGTAGGAGGCGGCATAACTCGCACGCTGCCGCAACCGCCCGACCGTCCAGACCGCCCGACCGTGCAGACCGCCCTGTGCCACGCGGTGCGTCGTCGCGTGATGTTGATGATGCTTCGGCTGCTCCCATCCCCGCCGTCGGTTCCGCTTCAAAACAGACCAGCAGTTTGTAAAAAGATTTCGGAGCGGCTTCGACGGAACTAAGGCTTCGACGGAATCGTTCCAATTCCACGAGGTTACAGTCACAGCACGAGAGCGACGACTGTTCGAGTCGAGAGCAACGGCAGTAGCAGCGGCAGACTGCAGCAACAGCAGCAGCAGCACCAGAAGGAGCAGGAGCAGGAGAAGTAGCAGGGCATCCCTCATGCATATGATTCAGAAGATTACTACTGCACCACAATCGCACGCTCCAGAATGCGTTTGCACTGCTGCAGCGCGGTAGTCACTACCATCTCACGTCTAGAATCTAACATGATCTCGACACGATCGCCAGCTAGAGGCTGATTTTTTTAAACGGATTCACTACTAGCAGGCCTTCCAGATTCGGATGATGTCGACTAGTATGGACAATGACGCTCAAAATTACCACTGCCTATCAGTGCAGAGTTTATGGCATCGGTGGTTATTTCTATCTACTTCCACTAGCAGAGTCCGCCACTAGGGTACCTCAGCGGCGGTTAATTTGAAGCCTGAGTTGCCGCGCTCGTTGGCCTAAGAACTGCTTTGGTTCTGTGGTTCATAGCACTGGCTGTGATCCGTGTTTTAATGGCCAGTGAGACACACTGAGCCGCTGCCGCTGCCTCCTTTTTTTCCCGCCGATTCAGGTGCTTTTCCCTGCCAGTGGCGGTACTACTACTAGAACAAGACTTGCTCGTTGAGCTGCGTTTCTCTCATGAAGTTTCCCCTCAGAGCTTGATTCTATGTGGAGCTCTCAGTCAGGTGCTAGTACTTATTAGCTCAAAATTGACAATACCTGAGAGAATTGCATGAATCTGAATTCGCAAACGATGGCCGCGACGGCCCTGAAAGACGCAGACACTTACGCGCTGATGTCTGGATAATCATCTGACGGCTGCAGCGCCGGAGATTAAGCTCCCGTAGATTGACTAACTGACTCAACGGCCTCGTTCTGCTCTTCAACGCGAGTTTTGCTTGATTCACGCTAATAGTGCAACGTGATTCGCACTATAAGTGCAACGTGTGGTGGCAAAGCACAGCCTCATAATATTACCAGTTATCCCTCTTATCGTTACAGCTACCAGAACAAGGTAGTAGCACCATTAGTCTCCGTTTTTCGCCACCAACCATGCACGATGATCATCACCATGCGACAGGTGCGTCTGCGTCGCCACCGTCGCCCAGGTCGCCCGCCATGGACGGTTGCGCCGGCGGCGCTGCAACCGCCGCTGCAGGGGGGAGCCGCGGATCCGCGGTAACCTCGGGGTTCCGCAAGCCGTTTCAGCGGTTCTACCGCGCCATGCTTGGCGGCAGCAGCGCCGGCGGCGGCGGCTCCTCCTCCTCCGCCTCGTCGTCTTCCTCCCACAAGAAGCTGTCGCCTCAGTCGTCGTCGTCGTACGCGTCGTCGCAGTCGTCGTCCTCCCACTCCTCACCGCACCAGCAAGCACGCATGCAGCAGACGCAGGCACAGCAACAGCAGGGCCAGCAGCAACAGCAGCAGCAGCAGCAGTCTCCCGGATTCTTCAGCGGCCCTCACCAGAGCCGAATTTCCAGTGGACCTGTCAGCAGACCGACCCCAGGAGCATCATCAGCATCAGCATCAGCATATCTGGATCCTGTGTCAGTCCCTCTCCCGTCCCTCTCTCCCACACCAGTTCAGCACTCTTCTCAGTCTGTCCGGTCACCCCTCCCCACCGCTGGTTCCTCTGCATCTTTCCGGGATTCCCAAGGCAGTTTTGGAACGAATTCCCAAGGCCGCACAGACCACCAAGGCGGACCCACAAACTCCTCCCAGGGCTTGAGCGACTCTAGAATTCTTGGGAGTTTCCGGGATTCGAAAGGTCTCGAGTTCAATTCCGCCCTGGTCACATCTTTCCAGGAGGAGAGGGTGTCTGAAGTTTCGTCCTTTGCAGGCCGAACCAGAGGAGGTTCGGCCACGTCCCCGAGGATGCTGGTTCGGCGGAGCACGTTGCCGCTGACGTCAGCGCAGTCAAACCAAGCGGCTAGGGAACAGCAGCAGATGGTGCTTTCTCAGGGCCTCGCTGCTGCTGTTACTTCCGCATGTGGTAACCCTGTAACTGGCAGTGGTTCTGTAACCCTCCGACCCTCACCTCCCAGAAGCACGGCTGTGGCTGCAGCTGCGGCTGTGGCAGTGGCAGCTGTGACTATACCCAACGGTGCTTCTCCCCCAGGAGCACCCTCCGTTATAAGCCACGGAGGGCACAGGCACAGCCGGTCTAGAAGCGCGGCAGAGGGAGAAGGGCTGAGCCAGCCTGGTGGAGGAAGTGAAGGGGAGGGGCGGGGAGAAGCAGGGATTAACGAGGAGGGAGATGATGATGAGGATGATGAGGAGGAGGAGGAGAGGGAGAGGAGCGGAGTGTTTTTCCGGGGCCGGGCGGCGACGATATCCACCCTGCTGCCGCCCAGTGTGACTATAGAGGAAGGCACGTTCCGCACAGCAGAGAGATCTCCGATCAGGCGATACCAGCACCAATATTTCCAACAGCAGCAGCAGCAGCAGCAGCACCAGCGGCAGGCGTCAATGGGGCAAACCATACCTGGGTGGAGACGAGGCAGTTCACAGAGCGTGGTGCTTGTCGGCGAGCGAGGGGGGATGCTTGGCCGGCAGCAGCAGCAGCAGCAGCAGCAGCAGCAGCAGCAGCAGCAGCAGCAGCAGCAGCAGCAGCAGCAGCAGCAGCAGCAGCAGCAGCAGCAGCAGCAGCAGCAGCTACAGCCGCAGCTACAGCAGCAGGCAGGCGGCAGCAGCCTCTCTGGTTCCCCCCACTCCCCCAGTCAAACCGCGTCTGGACAAGTCAATGCCGGTCAACGGGGCGGCGGTATGGGCAGCGTTGGTGCAGCCGGCATGGGCGGCATGGGCGGCAGGCCGCAGGGGCGGCGGCGGTCGCTGGTGTCGCACTCGGGCGGCTTGACAGCTGGCCTGTCTCCTGGCCTAGCCGCTCGTTCTGGCCTCACTGGGAGCTCTTTTGCCAGTGGTGCCTTTGCTGGTGGTGGCACTGCTATTGTAAGTGGCAGCATCAACACCCACGCGGGCAGCAGCAGCAGCTTTATCCGGGGCAGGAGCCGCACCATCTCCACCACTACAGTCACAGCTGTATCAGGGGCAGGCGGAGGGAGGCTGGGCGGAGCTGGAGGAGTAGGAGGAGGAGCAGGAGTGGGAGTGCTAGGAGGGGGAGCAGGAGGAGGAGGGGGGACGCTGTCGGCGCTGCCCCCGGCGCTGTCTCCACGTGCGTTGGCTCAGCTGGACCGCAGCTTTGGCAGTGATGAGTCCATGTCGTCCAGTGGTGAAGTGGTCAACGTGCTGCATGATGCTTCAGGCAGTGGTGCTGGCGGCATGAAGGTGAGTGCGGCGCTGCTGCTTGTGCCCTGCTCCTGCTCCTGCTCCTGCTCCTGCTCCTGCTCCTGCTCCTTCTCCTTCTCCTGCTCCTGCTCCTGATCCTGCTCCTTCTCCTTCTCCTTCTCCTGCTCATGCTCCTGCTCCTGCTCCTGCTGCTCCTGCTGCTCCTGCTGCTCCTGCTGCTCCTCCTTCTGCTAGTGCTGTTCCTTCTCCTCTTACTCTTCCTCCTCCTCCTCCTCCTCCTCCTCCTCCTCCTCCTCCTCCTCCTCCTCCTCCTCCTCCTCCTCCTCCTCCTCCTCCTCCTGCTGCTGCTGCTGCTGCTGCTGCTGCTGCTGCTGCTGCTGCTGCTGCTGCTGCTGCTGCTGCTGCTGCTGCTGCTGCTGCTGCTGCTGCTGCTGCTGCTGCTGCTGCTGCTGCTGCTGCTGCTGCTGCTGCTGCTGCTGCTGTGATGCTGCTGCTGCTCCTCCTGCTCCTGCTCCTGCTCCTGATCCTGCTCCCGCTCCCGCTCCTCCTGCTCCTGCTCCTGCTCCTACCCCTGCTCCTGCTCCTGCTCCTGCTACTGCTCCTACCCCTGCTCCTGCCCCTGCTCCTGCTCCTGCTCCTGCTCCCACTCCCGCTCCCCCTGCTCCTGCTCCTGCTCCTGCTCCTGCTCCTGCTCCTGCTCCTGCTCCTGCTCCTGCTCCTGCTCCTGCTCCTTCTCCTGCTCCTGCTCCCGCTCCCGCTCCTCCTGCGCCTGCTCCTGCTCCTGCTCCTGCTCCTGCTCCTTCTCCTGCTCCCGCTCCCGCTCCCGCTCCTCCTCCTCCTGCTCCTGCTCCTGCGCCTGCTCCTCCTGCTCCTGCTCCTGCTCCTACTCCTGCTCCTTCTCCTGCTCCCGCTCCCGCTCCCGCTCCTCCTGCTCCTGCTCCTGCTCCTGCTCCTGCTCCTTCTCCTGCTCCTTCTCCTGCTCCCGCTCCCGCTCCTCCTGCTCCTGCTCCTGCTCCTGCTCACGCCCTCTTCACATCAAAGTGCGGACACACCTTCCACTTCCACTGCATCACCTCACCCCTATCCCTCTCCCACCCGCCCCTTGTCTCACTCAGGGCGTCTGTGCCATTTGCCTAGAGCGTCAACGGGCAGGGAGAGGGCACGCGCTCTTCACAGCGGAGTGTGGGCACACCTTCCACTTCCACTGCATCACGGCCAACGTGCGCCACGGCCACTCCGCCTGCCCACTCTGCCGCAAGCGCTGGCACGAGGTCCCCTGGATGGGCCCTCCCCTAGCCGCTCCTCCCCCTGCTGCCCCTGCTCCTGCCCCAGCTACTGCTGCTGCTGCCCTTGCTGCTTCCCCTGCGTCTGCGGCTGCTGGTGCTGGTGGTGTTGCTCCTGGTGCTGGTGGTGTTGCTCCTGGTGCTGGTATGATCTCTGCCTTCTCCTCTTCAGGTTCCTCCTCTACCACTACCATTACTCCTGGCATCACCACACTCAACTCCCCCTCCTCCTCCTCGTCCTCCTCCCGCCACTCTCGCACCCGCTCCTCCTCTCCCCCAGACATGCTACTCGCACACTCCCCACGCGGCTCACCCAGTAACCTCCCCTTCCCAGAGCACCGGATTTCTGCTGTCCCACATGCTGCTGCTGCTGCGGCTGCTACAGGTGGCACCACTCCTGCAGGAGCAGTTGTGCCTGTCCAGATGTACCTCCCCCCTGTGGCGAATCCGTACATAGAGGACGGACCCGAGAGCCCAGACACCAGCGGCACGTATGATTCCGGGGAGATTCGGGCGGCAGCTGCTGCCGCCCAGTCGAAAGCCTGGGCGGCACTGAGGAGGAGCAGGGGCGGGGGAGGAGGGGGAGCGGGAGGGGGCGGGGGAGGAGGGGGAGCTGTGCCAACAAGTGCTGGTGCTGCTTCCTCACCTGCTCCTGCAGAGATCATACCCGCTGCACCCGCACTGGCAGCAGTAGCATCCTCATCATCAGCAGCACCTGTGTTTGCACCACCCACACCGGCAGCAGCAGCACCAACATCATCAGCAGCACCTGTGTTTGCACCACCACCCACAGGCATAGCTTTACAGCTGCCAGGCACAGTGGGAGCAGCGCCTATTCGAGTCCATCCAGTGGCGCGATCAACAGGAGGAGCAGGGGCATCAGCAGCGGCACTGTTGCCATGGCTCCCTGCCACGTCGTGCGAGGACCCTGACAGCACGACGTCGCTGCAGGAGTGGATGGGAGGGCGGCAGGGAGCGGCGGCATCAGACGTGGCAGCAGCATTAGGCGCAGCAGATGCCCCCCCAAGCGCCACATACGGTGAGCTGATTGCGGGAAGCAGCAGTCTCTCACTGCAAGCACCGCAACCACCACAGGTGCAGCAGCAGCAGCAGCAGAGTCTACTGAGGCAGGCGTCTATAGTGGCGCATGAACTGACACTAGGTCGCTCCAGAGCTGCCTCTGCCTTCCCCCGCTCCAAAAGCACCAGCGGCACTGCTGCTGCTGATTCTGCTGCTGCTGCTGCTGCTGCTGGTAATTCTGCTGCTGGTTCCCTTACATCTGGTGCTAATGCGGCCAATGTTAGCAGCAGAATCAGCAGCAGCAGTGGTGGCGGCAGCAGCAGCGGCGGGCTTAGAACGGCTTCCAGCCTTCCCACGCCCCCTGCTGCCAGTCACGCGGTGCCTTTACCAAGTGTGGCAGGGGAGGAGGCTGGGGAGGCAAGGGGAGGCAAGGCCGGCCCAGCCTATGCTCCTCTGACACGTGGCAGCCTGCAGCCTCTCGCTGCCATCCATCCAGTGCGGCAGCAGATGCTGCTGCCAGGTCAGCAGGCACAGGGACCGACCCAGGGGCAAGGTCAGGCACAGGGACAGGGACAGATGCAAGCACAGGCACAGGGACAGGCACAAGGGCAAGTAGGGGCGGATGATTCGCCTCGAGTGTACAACGATGATCAGAGCCTCAATAGCCCCCCGGCTGCTGCCCCTGGCACCTCTGCTCTTGGTGCCATCTCTTCTCCTGCTGCTGCTGGCGATGCCGCCCCTGTTCCTATCGGAGGTGCTACTACCACAGATGGCGCCGTTTCTCCCACTGCTGGTTTGGTCGCCAGTGCCCCACGTGCTCTCTCACGCCTCTCTGCTGTTGGGTCGGCGGCAGTTGAGTCTGCGGTTTCGGAACCAAGTCCAGAGCTGCTCACTCCAACCTCTGCCCTTGCTGATGCGTCTGCTGCTGCTTCTTCTTCTTCTTCTGCTGCTGCTCCTCCTGCTCCTCCTCCTGCTGCTACATATTATGAAACGACAGCTACTGCTACAGCCGGGACTGACTGGCCTGAGAGCAGCCGTGCTACAGCCGCTCCAGGTGCATCAGGTGGAAGAGAGCTTCCTATCCTTGCAACGGAGACACCACGTCCTACTGCTACGGCCTTTAAAAGTGGCGCTGCTGCGCCAGAGCCAGCAGATAGTGAGGTACCAGCGGCAGGGGAAGAGACTGGAGCAGAGGCAGCCGTTCAACCCAAGAAGAGCACTGAGGAAGAGGAGTATGCACGAGCAAATAATGCTGCTGCTGCTGCTGCTGCAGCAGCTTCTGATGCAGGTGCTAATACGGCTTATGGGGGCAGTGCTGCTGTGCAAGAGGCTGTGGCTTCTGATGCTACCACTGAACGCACTGCTATCACCACTGCTATCACCACTGCCGTTCCAGTCGCCGTTGCTCCTGATGCCTCACCTCCAGCCATCACCCCTCCAGCAATAACCGATCCCCAACCTCTTGCTGCTCCCTCTCAGCCTTCCCAGCCTTCCTCCTCCTCCTCCTCCTCCTCACCCTCATCCTCCACCCCTTCCGCCCCCTCCGTCCAGCCCCACCAGAAGACGCCTGCCTCAGAAAACGCCTCGTTCCCTGTCCAGCTGTCTGTGTGCGCGGAGCGCACGCCTCCCCCTTTCATGGAAGTTTCCGAGTGTTACACCGTGCTGCTCACTCTTAAAGCCCCTCCGCTCGACCCTCCTGCTGCTGACTCCACCACTCCTGCCTCTCCTCCAACCGAACACCACCAGGGCTCACCGCTCCCCACCCCTGCCACCACCGATGGAACCACTTCCACTATCACTACTACCACTCCTGCCGCCCACTCATCAAGAGTACCCATCGATTTAGTCACACTTTTGGACCTTAGCGGGAGCATGCACGGGCCGAAGCTTCAGCTGCTGCAGCAGGCCATGCTCTTCCTCATCTCCCAGCTCGGCCCCCACGATCGGCTCTCTATAATCACATTCTCCTCACAAGCACACCGCGTGACGCCCCTCAGGAGGATGACGGAGGAGGGGCGGCAGGAGGCGGAGGGGAAGGTGCGGGGGATGGTGGCGGGGGGAGGGACGAATATCGCCCAGGGGATGTTGAAGGCGTTGAGAGTGGTGGAGGAGAGGAGGGAGCGGAACCCGGTGGCGAGTATCATGCTGCTGTCCGATGGGCAAGATACCGCCACGTGCAGCCAGAAGGGGTTCGGATACAGGTGAGACTGGGCTGCTGTGGATTCAGGTGAGGAAAGTTTAGATGCAAGCGAGTCTGGGTTAGGGTGTGCAGGCACAGGCAGAAGTGTTGTATGTTCTTCCTCTCACGTTTGCAACTCTTTGCCTTATTCTCCCCCCCCGTTACTCCCTTCTTCATCCCATCCCTCCCCTCATGCCCCTCACTCCCCCCCCCTCTCCGCCAGCTCTCTCAACCACCCCAAGTAAACCTACAGCCGCCTGCTCCCCAGCCAGATGACCCGCAACAAATCCTCCTCCTCTCAGGATTCTGCTTCTTCCTCCTCTTCCTCCTCCCGGCGTCTAGTCCCCGTGCACACCTTTGGCTTTGGTGCCGACCACGACGCTGCCGCCCTGCACGCCATTGCCTTCACTCCCCTCATTTCAATATTCCTCATTCTCCTTTCCCATTTCTACTTGTCACCACCTCCCCTCTCTCTTTCCCCTTCCTTGCAGCTCTCTCAACCACCCCAAGCAAACCTACAGCCGCCTACTCCCCAGCCAGATGACACGCAACAAGTCCTCCTCCTCTCAAGATTCCTCCTCCTCCCGGCGTCTAGTCCCCGTGCACACCTTTGGCTTTGGTGCCGACCACGACGCTGCCGCCCTGCACGCCATAGCCGCCGACACAGCTGGCGTCTTCTCATTCGTCGAGGAGCCGGCCAGCGTGACCGCCGCCTTTGCGCAGTGCCTGGGCGGCCTGCTGTCTGTCGTTATCCAAGAGGCCAAGATCTCGTTCGCGGTGGGATCGGATCTCCCCGGGTGGCAGATCGCGGCAGTACATGCGGGGGGGTATGCATACAGAGTGGGGGAGAAGGAGAGGGATGGAGCGGTGCTGCTGGGGGATCTGTATGCAGAGGAGGAGCGGCACGTGATGCTGGAGGTGTGGCAGAGACGACAGATGGAGGTACGTGATTGGCGGAGGGATGCTGGAATTCATTGGTCGTGCTGTTTTCCCTGTGCCATTGCTTGTCGCATTCTGCGTGCGCGGTGCAGCTATAGATGCCGCCTGTTGTTAGGTTCGCCCCATTTGATTTTCCCCTCTTCCCTTTCCTCTCCTACCTCTCACAGGACAAATCCCGAGCCAGGGACACGTCAGCAAAAACAGCACAGCGCGACATGTGTCGCATTCTGAGAGCACGGTGCAGCTACAGATGCCGCCCGCTGTTCCAGGAAACCCACCGCACACCGCTGGTAGAGCTGGCCGTAGCACGAGCGGAGGAGGAGGAGGAGGAGGAGGAGGAGGAGGAGGAGGAGGAGGAGGAGGAGGAGGAGGAGGAGGAGGAGGAGGAGGAGGTGGAGGAAGGGTGGGAGGAAGAAGGGCGCATGTGGGAGGAGGGTGCAGAGGGGGAGTGGTATGATGAACAGCATGGGCAGGAGGAAGGGGAGTATGGGGCGCACAGCAGCGGGCATGATAGCTTTGCGGCGGCGCTCGCAGCAGCAGGCGGGTGGGACAGTGGCGCGCAGGGAAGCAGCAGGCAGGCCAGTGGCAGGCAAGAAGGGGCGTCCCATGGTGTGTCGCCGCCAGTGTCAGGAGCTATGGAGTCTGGACGGCAGGGGGGAGAAGGGAGGAGGAGAAATGCCGAGGTGGCGAGGGTGAGGAGGAAGAAGGCTCCTCCGCCCTTGGCTCTGGAGAGGCAGAAGAACCGACTTGCCGCCACCAAATGCATCACTGCAGTATGATCTCACTCACTCCCTCACTTGCTTTCTCACTCATGCAGTCATTCTCTCTCACTCACTCTCTCACTTGCTCTCTCACTCATGCAGTCATTCTCTCTCACTCACTCTCTCACTCGTGCACTCATGCTCAGTCACTCTCTCGCTCTCTCACTCGTGCACTCACTGACTATGTCACTTGCTCTCTCTGTCGTGCACTCACTCACTCACTCTTCTTTCCTTCACCCCATTTCTGCTGTCCGGACCCGACTCGCATCCCTGCGTCTCTCTTTACTCCAGGCGTTGCAGCAGGCAGAGGCGGGCAGCCTGGCAGCAGCACAGCGCACCATACAGCAAGGCGTGGCAGCCATCCAATCGTCTTATGCCATGCAGGTATGTTGTCCAAGAAACATTTTTTTTTTACCCCCCCACCCAACCCTCCCCCTGCCCCTCCCCCTCCCCCTTCCTCCCCACACACATCCCCCCTATTTTTCCTCGTTTGCTTTCTTTTGCCAATGTAAATCCTTCCATCCTCCTCGTCTGCAGCTTACACAACCCTTTCCCACTGTCATGCCTCTCTCGCTTGCCTGTCCCGCTGTCATGCCTCTCTCGCTTGCCTGTCCCGCTGTCATGCCTCTCTCGCTTGCCTGTCCCGCTGTCTTGCCTCTCTCGCTTGCCTGTCCCGCTGTCATGCCTCTCTCGCTTGCCTGTCCCGCTGTCTTGCCTCTCCCTGCCCCGTTCCTCTCTTCTATTCCATGCAATTTCGTGCGCAGCAAGGGGATGAGGCATCAATGCATTTGATTGACGAGCTGATGGAGATCGAGAGACGCATGTGCAACATGCAGGTGAATGGGAGTGTCGGTTACATGTCATATGTGCTGCAGCACTTTCTCTGAGTTTGTAAGAATGTTTTCTGTTTCAACATGATCATTTTTTTTTTTTCCGCACTCTCAGTGCAGTCATGTCATCTGGTGCTGCCCCGTCTCACAGCATGCCTCCATTCACTCCCTCACATCTTCCTCCTCTTCTCCTCTTTCTCCCACTTCCTATTCTTGCTCTTCTCCTCTTTCTCCCACTTCCTATTCCTGCTCTTCTCCTCTTTCTCCCACTTCCTATTCCTGCTCTTCTCCTCTTTCTCCCACTTCCTATTCCTGCTCTTCTCCTCTTTCTCCCACTTCCTATTCCTGCTCTTCTCCTCTTTCTCCCACTTCCTATTCCTCCTCTTCTCCTCTTTCTCCCACTTCCTATTCCTGCTCTTCTCCTCTTTCTCTCACTTCCTATTCCTGCTCTTCTCCTCTTTCTCCCACTTCCTATTCCTGCTCTTCTCCTCTTTCTCCCACTTCCTATTCCTTCTCTTGTCCTCTTTCTCCCACTTCCTATTCCTGCTCTTCTCCTCTTTCTCCCACTTCCTATTCCCCCTCTCCCAGGTTTGGCGTATGCACTTTCAGTGCAGTCAGCCCATCTGCTGCCGCCCCGTCTCACACTCTCACGTCTCCTCACCAACTCTTCTCCCATCTCTTCCCCTCCCTTTCCACAGACGTACAAGGGAGCAGGTCTGGCGTATGCTCTCTCTGCGCAGTCAGCTCATCTGCTGCAGCGAGCAAACACGAGGGGGGGAGGGGCCGCAGCAGACAGCACAGCTGGCCTCGACTACATGGTAACACACCCATCATTATTCTGCTGTGACTTGGTTAATGTGCCCGACTCTTCTTTGCCTAGCGAACCAACAAACCAACACTCCAACTTCCCCTCCCTAATGCCCTCGTATTGTTCTTACCATAAATATATGTTTTTTTTTTGTGTGCATTTTCCAGGTGATGTTCCAACCCCCTGCTCCTCTGTTTTGTTCTCCATATTCCTTTACGCTGTTTCCCTTGCCCTTTCTACCCCTTCCCGTTTCTGCGTTTCTCACCATCAGACGCCTTCAATGGTCAACATGCTGCACAAGTCACGAGCACATAGCGCTGCCTTGACACTGTTTCCCTTCCCCCTTTTGTTTACCCGTTCCATTCTCTGTTATTTTTTCTCTTTCCCACACCATCAGACGCCTTCAATGGTCAACATGCTGCATAAGTCACGAGCACACAGCGCTGCCTTCACAACATCCCCCTCCTCCTACCCATCCTCCTCGTCTCGCCACACTCATCCTAACCGCCCCACACTCCCTCAAACACACCCTTCACCACACGCCTCACCTCATCTGGAGGACACGAGCAACAGCAGCAGTGGGTCGCTGGTGCTGCCAGCGCCTCACTCAGGTCCATTCATGGACGGCAGGGAGTGTGAAACACCCACGTTTCGAGGCAGAGGGGTGCCAAAAAACGGTAGAGGAGGAGGGGCAGCAGCTGCTGGCGTTGCTGCAGCTGCTGCTGCTGCCGCCTCCTCCATATCACCCTCTCAGCCGTTTTTTGACAGCAGACAAGGGCCGAACGGGGCAAATGGGATGCTCGCTGCTACAGCTGCAGCCCTCCCCCAACCACCCCTGGACGGTTTGAATGGAGCAAGCTACAGCAACATCTGCTCCTCTCAGCGTGGTATTGATGTCTCCTTTGGCAACTCCTGTGAGCAGCAGCAGCAGCAGCAGGGCGAGACAGAGGAGCTCTTATTTGGCTCGGCTTCCTTTCAATCCAGACCGCCAACAGAGGCAGCGTGCCAGACACGCCGACAACAGCAGCAGAAGCAACAGCAGCAGCAGCAGCAGCAGCAGCAGCAGCAGCAGCAGCAGCAGCAGCAGCAGCAGCAGCAGCAGCAGCAGCAGCAGCAGCAGCAGCAGCAGCAGCAGCAGCAGCAGCAGCAGCAGCAGCAGCAGCAGCAGCAGCAGCAGCAGCAGCAGCAGCAGGGAGGAGTGGGGCTGAGAAGGCAGAGGTCTGGCGTGCAGCGCAGCAGCAAGCCGGCTCCCCTGGTGGTGCGCAGTGGGATGGGTCTCGCTGCTGCTGTGGCCGCCGCTGCTGCAGCTGCAGGGGATGGCCGGCTGGACTCCTCTGCTTCACTCTCTGCTGTGGCTCATGCGCTCTCGTCCTCACCTCGTCCCGTGGAAGCATGAACCTCCTTGCCTGGTGTCTAAACTCTACTCCTAATCTTCGCCCTACCCTTGCCTCATCCTCGCCTCGTCCTGTGGAGGCATGAAATATGAAAGTGCTTGCCTGGTGTCTACATCTTATCCTAGCCTCGCTCCTCGCCTCATGCCCGTCTCGTATCTCGTCTCGTCCTCGCCTCGTCTGTGCATGGTGTGTGCCATGGTCCTTCTTGGAGAAATGTATGGTAGGGCGTGTAGATGTAGGATCGACACTGCTGCATGGAGAATCAATAAGTAGCAATTAGGAGTGCATTCATGTGTTGTTCCTGAACTGTGTGTGTGCCTTTCATATGGCATGTGCTTGTTATGTATGCTTGTGATAGTATTGCAATCGCCCCGATATACCATATGCCCCCGGATATAAGTGCAGGCCTATGTTAAGCGGATGCGCTTATAGCTGGAGCAGTGCTGGCTGATCCTCAATTATAAGAGCACCCACTGTAAAACCCTGATTTATTATAAGCACATGTATAAATGTATTTAAAATCATGAATAAATCGGCAGCGGCGGCACCTGGTAGCAGCGGCGCACGGGGCAGGGATGGCTCGCGGGCAGCGGCGGCTTGCGAGTAGTGACGGCGCCAGGCAGCAGCGGCGCGCGTGGCAGCTCAAAGGGCGCGTGCGAGGCAGCGCCTGTTAGAATACTAACGCAGGAATGATGAGATTAGGCAGCATGAGAAGTACAAGTAGGGAAACCCAAAAAGGGTTGTACTCTAAGTAAGCTACCCCAATACAGCCTACAAAGATAGAAATACGGTTTGACACACCTTCATAGGCAAACTGGGGGTTCATAAGAACAACCAACAGTCACAAGACCAGTCAAGCAAGAGAACAAAGCAAAACAAAGCTCAGGGTGGATCTCAAGATCACCACGCAGTCACACAAGCAATCGGCCACAAGGCCAGTTCACATGCAGAGTTATAAAAGCACAAGCAGTAGAGTGATCACAACCTAGCAAGATCAAGCATGCAGTTATATATAGATAGATCACAACACAAGACAAGTCAAGTGTTGGGCTGGGAAGAAGCCCTTAGGATCTTTGCAAGGCTAAACTCTGGGTAGGACTTGTTGTAGATGCGGAAGCGTATAATGATAAGTCTTGAACCACCTTGCGCTGGTATGTGAGAGCAAAGTAGATTGATTAATCAAAGAGATACAAGGCTTTTATAAGAGTACAAGGAATATGAAAAGATGCAACTACTGTCAGCCCCCGGATAGAAGCGCCCCTGGGGGTATAAAAAAACACTTTTTTTTTTTAGGGGTTGCGCTTGTATTTGAGGATTTTTATAAGCGCCGGGGCTTATATAATGACATATATGAAATCTAGTTTTTTTTTGCACTAAAGTGTTCATCTCGTCCTTGCCATTTGAATCGAATCGATATTGTAGAGGGCATTGAATTTGAATTTCGCGTGAATTGGCAGTGGCTGATTCCCTGCCAACACATACAGTCAGATTGAGTCCGATTGACTCCCTGCCAACACACACAGTCAGAATGAGTCAGATTGACCCCATGACAGCTCATTCTGACTAGACGCGAAGGCATTGAGTCGCGCGAGGGGCAAGGGTGTGAAAAGAATGAACAGGAATGAATAATGACTAAGTCAGAGTTAGGTACAAATACTACCCTAGAAAGCTGTACCCCATATGTGCTACCCCACTATAGCCTACAAACATGCATCAGTTATAATACTCTGACACACCCCCATAGGCAAAGTGGGGGAGAACAAGGGGTCACAAGACCAGTCAAGCAAAGCAAAGCAAAGCAAGCTCAGGGTGGATCACAAAGTCACCACACAGTCCGAGCACAAGAGCAGGGCCAGAGGCCAGTTCACATGCAGGAGTACAGACATATATATAAAACTAGACAAGCAAGAGCAGGTATATATATATGTCACAGTACAAGTGAAGTCAAGAGGAGAGCAAGTGAGGTAAGACAGGCACAAGACCCAGCTGGGTGCAAAAGCGCTGATGGTCACAAGGCGCGAGTGCCTTGGTGAACACATCAGCAGTGTTGGCCTCAGAGGCCACGTACGCAAGTCGCAACTGACCACGCTGCTGCAGCTCACGAGCAAGGAAGTAGCGGAGAGCAATGTGCTTCGTTCTGTGCTCCAAGCGCTGCTCTTGACACAAGGCCAGCATGGCCTTGTTGTCTACGTACAGCACTGGAGGAGAACGAGGCGGCTCTCCAAGGTCAGTCAGCAGGTAGGTGAGCCAGCGAAGCTCCTGTGCAGCCATGGCCCCTGCGTAGATCTCAGCCTCACAACTGGAGCCGAGAACCGAAGACGAGCGAGTAGACCGCCACGAGACAGAGCCGGAACCAAGGCTGAAGGTGTAACCCTGTGACGACCGCTGCGTAGCCTGGTCGTCAGCCCAAGAAGCGTCCGCGTGGCCGGTAAGGACCACTGGACTCTGCCCTCCAAGCACTAGCCCCATGCCCGACGTACTGCACAGGTAGCGCAATACCCTCTTCGCTGCAGCCATGTGCTCTGGTCGGTGTCTCCCAGGAGCAACATAGCGTGCAAGAATGCTCAGAGGGTATGCAAGGTCAGGTCGTGTGCAGGTCATCAGGTACATGAGGCAGCCAACAAGCTCTGCATACGGACCACTCGACTCTACGGACTCATCCGAAGGCAGAGCTGAGAGTGAGTGGCGAGTAGGCAGAGGAGTGGCCTGAGGCGAGGAGTACGTGAAGCCGAAGCGCTGAAGGACCTGCTGCACCATGTGTGACTGAGTCAAGGTAATGGTGCGGCGTGCTCTGTCCCGAGTGATCTGCAAGCCAAGGTAGCTGCGCAGTTCACCCAGGTCTGTGCACTTGTGTCTCTTCAGCAACTCGGACTTCACGTAGGCGAGTCCAGCAGTGTCCGCTGTGGCAAAGACCAAGTCGTCGACGTACACGAGGATGTAGAACGGCGGCAGGGAAGTGTCGGTGCGAAGAAACAGCGACGGGTCAGCAGTAGAAGGAGCAAACCCAAGAGCCGCAAGCGTAGTCCTCAGTGTGTCGTGCCACTCACGCGGTGCCTGGCGGAGACCGTAGACTGGCCGTCCGAGGCTCCACTGGGTGCCAGGAGGGAAAGTCCCAGTGAAGCCAGGTGGACGGCGAAGCCAGATCTCCTCGTGCAGGCTACCCTGCAAGAACGCAGTGCTGAAGTCGAGAGAGTGAAGCTCGTTGTCGCGCTGAGCGGCTATGTGCAGCAGCACCCAAAGAGTAGTCATCTTCGGGGTGGGAGAGAAGGTCTGAAAGTAGTCAACTCCCTGCCGCTGACTGAAGCCACGAGCAACGTACCGTGCCTTGAAGACAGGTGGAGAGCCCGGCGGCCGCTTCACCCTGAAGATCCACATGCCACTGACGATGTTCGCCCCAGGAGGGGGAACCGCGTCAACGTAGGTGCCTGTGGACTTCCAGGAAGCCATCTCTGCATCCATAGCTGCCTGCCACTGAGAGGAGTAGGGACCCTCTACGGCCTCCGCGTAAGAACGCGGAGTCGGGATGTCTAGTGCATCCGGGTCTCCCTCAGGAGCAAGCAGTACAGACGCGAGATGAGGTGAAGCAGCCGCTAGACACTGGAACTCCTCCTGCCTGACCTCTAGGACGTCCGTGCCAAGAGCACACTCACCCCTGACGGACGGAGGACAGACAGACGCAGACTCAGCAACAAGACTAGCAGCGTAGTCGAGACGACAGCGAGCAGCAAAGTCGACGAGCTCAGCGACTAGAGCGGACGCAGCAGTGGACTCAAAAGCAGGGTCAGTGACGACAGTAGCAAGTAGACGCGTGACAGTAGGACTGGCAGCACGAAGAGAGTCCGACTCAGGGTCGGCAAGCGCAGGAAGAGAGGACTCAGGAGGAGAAGGCAAAGGGGCACGCAGAGGAGCAGTGGACGGACGCAAAGACATCCGGTGCGTGCCAGGGACAGGAGGAGGACGCTGACGCGAACCGCGACCACTAGCGCGAGCAGCACGAACAGGCGACGCGGGACGAGACGCAGGCTCACGACGCTCAGTAAGACCTCCAGTAGGACCAGTGTAAGGAGAGGGAGCAGGCAGTGGAGAGGAGGGCTCCAGCAGGGACTGCGACTGGACAGGCGGTGGACCCTCTACTGGAGGAGAAAGACCAAGAACCTGCTGCAGGAGCGGAACGAAGTACGGCCGAGGCCGCGCGGCAGCTCCAGACTCAGCAGGGACAGCACCAGCACCCTCAGCGACAGCACCAGCGCCACCCACACCTCCAGCGGCAGGACCAACAGCAGTAGGCTCAGCACCAACGCCCTCAGCAGCTCCAGCTCCAGGAGGACCCGCAGGTCCAGCAGCTCCGGGACCGGCAGCACCCGCACCCTCGACGGTCGAAGAAGCTCCAGCTCCAGCTCCAGCAGCACCTCCAGACTCAGCAGCACGCCTCCAGCGGCGAGCGAACCACTCGCGCAGCTCCTGTGGAGAGAGGGGCTCCCGGCGAGACGCAGCAGCAGGAGAAACCCCAGGCTCAGCAGCTCCAAACGCAGCACCTCCAGGCTCAGCAGCTCCCAGCTCAGCACCCCCAGGCTCAGCAGCTCCCAACCCAGCACCCCCAGACCCAGCACCTCCAGGCACAGCACCCCCCGGCTCAGCACCCCCAGGCTCCGCACCCTCCGCAGTAGCACCCCCAGGCCCAGCACCCCCAGCAGTAGCACCCCCAGGCTCAGCACCCCCGCGCACAGCACCCCCAGAGTCAGCACCCCCAGGCTCAGCACCCGCAGCAGTACCAGAGTCACCAGTAACCTCGACCGGGTCAACGGCGTCTACCTGGGACACACTTGAGGGGGCAGGAACCTGAGGGGGGAGGGGGTCTACCGGGGGGGGAACCGGCACAAGGAAGTCCGGGGGAGGGGGGAGGGAAGGAGTGCGGTAGGGGAAGAGACGGTAGAAGGGGACTGACTCGTCGAACGTGACGTCCTGGGAGGACAGAACACGACGAGAGGAGGGGTGGTAAAAC